ATATCCATGAACATATAAAAATATGTCCATGTCCATGTCCAATAATTTGCTTGGACATATGTCCATGTACAACACTGTGGATACTGATAAATTTTTTGAATTTAAAATTTAATATTACATATTAAATGCATACACATTTATTTAATGAATTGGCTGGTTTTGGTCATGAACCAAATTAAGTAGGAATGCTGATTCTCAAACCCAAACTAAGTAGTAATAATTTAAAAAAAAAAGTTTGGGTTGAACCCTAGTAAAAACTTAAAAATCATCGCCTTCATTAGCGAAAAATGTTGAATAGGCGATAACTGTTAAAAAAAAGTGAAATTAAAAATTAAATTAGTTAAAGGAATAAATTGAATGAAATAAACAATGAATAAATAAATAAACTTAAGGATTACTAGTCGAATACACTAGAGCACCACCTCCGACACTCATAAACATGGCGGGGATCGATATCTACAAATAAATATATAAATATTGGTCAATTAGAATTAAGTTACCAAATGACAGCTGCATGATATATAAACTTACCACTGATGCATGCGCAAGAACGACCGGAAGACCTGCAAGTTTATGCGTAAGGCTTGCCCGGTATAGAATATGAAAAGGTATATATGAAAACAAGAAACTTACAAACTCCGGTGACAATAAAAATAGCGGTCAAAAACTGGCCAAAGTCTTTAAATCCGTTACTAATAAATTTAAAGTGATAATTAAAATCCTAACAGAAAATAATTTATATTTGAGTTTCATTATTCATTAAATATAGTTACTTGGAATTGCTTGATAAATAATAATCATCGTTTCCGGAACATTTTGAGAACATGAAATTTGGTAAAGGTGCTAACACATAAGTTGCAACTAAAATAATAATAATAAATATTGAATGCAGTCCAAGAAACCACATACGTTTTGCAATATTAAAGGAATAAAAAGACATACCGACAAACAACGTCCACCAAGTTCTGAGACATATCAAAACACGACATTAATAAAATCAAAAGAATACACAATAAAGCACAAAACCACATTTAGGTTCACATACTGATATAATGCACCAGATAAAATGACAAGTAGGAAACCACAAGCTAACACAAACGCCAGGGCAATAATACTGAGAAATTCCAAAGTGTTGAAGGGAGTTGTCAACCATTTTTAACATAAGTATACGATATGAAACTTTTACAGTCTACTGGCAATATAAAGCTGTTTTAATTAACCATATTTCATTCTTTACTCACGCTAATGCAAGATCATGAAAGAAAAATTAATGCAAAAAACAACGAAAAAATAGAAAAAGCAAGAAAGTATAAATTTACTTTTTAATCCTGCCATCAGATGTTTTAACCCTGGTAGTATAAAAAAGACCTTTGTAGAGGTGACGATCACTAATATACAAAGTAAAAAAAAAAAAAAACTCGGAGAGAAGAAGACGTGAATACTGGAATAAGTACGCATGTACATATCAAGGCTGATATATCCAAATCTTGCATTGTGACCAGAATTGCTCTACCAGATTTACCGGAATTATGGATCTGGGATCTGCACAGATATAACAATTCGTATCTAATCTAATACAATCTTAGTATTCTATCATGCCTGTTGTGGAGAGTATAAGTGAACAGTTGTCGTCTTTGCACTTGTCAGAAGAGATCACAGAAGAAATTATAGCTTGTGCAAGGTATGGTGAACTTTCTGAGTTGCAGGACATTATAAAATCATACCCTATCGCGTGTCTTGCGTCAAGAGACACCTTTAGAAACACCGCATTACACATGGCAAGTGCGAATGGTTATACAAGTAGGAATTTTATTTCGTTCATTTATTTATTTATAACTACTCTAAAAATTATTTACACGAAATACTTTATAGGTATCGTAGAATATATCATACAAACATTAGGAACTTTGGAAAGTGATATAGTAAACGTACAAAATGAATTGGGGAATACTCCATTACATTGGAGTGCATTGAATGGTCATATCGAGGTAGTCACGCTACTGGTATCCAGCGGAGCTGATGTAAAGGTATATAGATATAACTTTGAATCCTTTTTAAAACATGTAAAACAATTCATCTTTATTCTGATATGGATAAAAATAGATCAAAAATAAAGCAGGAAGAACAGCAATGTACGAAGCACAACAAAATAATCACGAAAAAGTGGTTGAATATTTATTATCTAAAATAGAACCTGAAAAAGAAGAAAACTCTTAACATAGACCTGGGTTTACAATTTTATTCTAGACCGGAGTAGCTGGAAATCTGATTGGTTAATTAATACTTAGCATTTTTTTAACAGTTATATAGAACATGTTCGCTAGAATGCTGTACTTATTAGTCAAATAAGTTAACACACCAAAATTTTATAAGTAAATTAAAATATATATATATTGATTTTTTAAAAAAATTTTATATTTGATATATTGTTTAGCACTTAACAGATTTTATTGAAAGATGCAAATAATAATTACATTCAAAGGTTGATCAATTTTTGTATGTTTTTTAATTTAAAAATTTAATAAATTTTTTAATTATTAAAGTTTTAGAAATTTTTAACAGCATTTATAGTAAATGCAAAATTTGTAATTTATTATTATGTAAAATATTGTATATGAAAAAAAATCATACTAGAAGTTATTGGTATTTATCTTTATTTTTATAACAATTTAAAACAAAAAAAAAAGATTTAAAAACCAAAAATAAAAATTGATATAACAATTATATTAATAACAAAACTAATCATTTTTAATAGTAAAAAGTTGTTAATGTTTTCACTGATAATACCATACCCATGTAAATTACCAATTTTTATAATTTTTTATAAACTTTGATCGAAGATATCTTGGCTAAATCAATATTATCTTTTTTTGTTTTAATTGTAAATAGCAGTAGAATTAAAATAAAAAAAAAGTCCATTGAATTTGGACAGGTGGGTATGAAGATACAGTATCTTCGATCAAAGCTTTGTAAAACCATATCAAATACTGTATATTAATATCTACAGTATTTAAAATATTTATTTTTTTTTATAGCTGAAGTTTACAATATGTTTTAAATCAAGATTTTATTAAATATATCATAGTATATTTTAAATTACAAATATCTTCTTATAAAATTGGTTTTATTTATTAATTTTGTTCTAGATATAATTGAATATAGCATATATATATATATATGGGCTAGGTGCTGAGAAAAGGGACCAAATTGACTATTTTTTCAAAAGATATTTTTTAATATAAATCAATTTAGAATAAGATTAGAATCATTTTTTAATTAAGACATAAAAGTAGTTGTATTAATAAAATTTTGCTATATTGCTCTTTAAAGTTTGTACTTTCTTATAATTTATTATAAGATTTACAACATAAAAATTGATTTTCCGAAGATCTTTTGTTTTGACAATTTGGTCCCTTTTCTCAGCACCTAGCCCATATATAATTAGTCGTTAAGTAGAATTACTATGCAGTATATCTGATATTATACATTATTTATACTGTATGAAATAGCAGTAAAGGAGCACTAAAAGACGAAGCACCGAGATACGAAGCACCACACCAAAATAAATGTCAATTTTTTTCTATATGCTACATGTTATGAAACTCTTATTAATTTTAAATAGCCGAAAGCCGATCGTATGAACATGTTATGCGACCGCAATAAATGATAATCAATCACATGATAAGCTCGGATATATAGTAATGCTACGTTAGTATTATTCTTCATTTAGGTGTTATACAATCATGTTCGTACTCGTATTTATGACAAATAATTATTTTATTTATCTTAAAATTTCTCTTGTCATAGTAATTATTTAAGATGTTATGTGGTCAATAAGGGTTTATAACAATTTTGTCTAGTCAGTTACCTGTTTGTGAATGTAATTGGATGCCTGATGAGATAATTTCTCTCAGTTGATAACCCTAAAGGAGGGTTTTCATTCAAACACTTTAAACCTTATATGCCTCAATACTTCTGCAATCGATAACCATCCACTTAAATAATAAAAGATTATTCGGAAACTAAAAAAATCGACGAATTTACTACCTATTATTAATCTTGCTACAAATAGAAACGTGTTAGTTGGATATTTGATTGAAAATGATTTCTTTAAAGCCTTCTCCTGAATCTTAATATATGAATATGCGACCACTATGCCACACGAAATTTAGTTCGCCGTTCTATATTTGTAATTAAATGCTGTGGATTTTACATAAATACGTATTTGCTATTGATCACGTGATCCACTTTGTATCGAAAACCACTTGTTTTCCATACCCCGTGACGGTCTAGTCAGTCAATGTAACTCTTAACATTGAGAAAAATAAGAAAACTGGGCTGATCATGCAAAATCATTTACATCGTTTACTTAACATTATCTGATTTTAAAATTTCATTTTAGTCCGCAACATCTCGATTATATCATAATCCACAGATATCACCGGTTTCCAAATCAACTTTCAGAATAGTATGAGTCAATAATTTTCAACATACAAAAAAAGAAATAACAATAATAATGATAATAATATAAACGTTAACCAAAAACAGTTTAGTCACTAAAGTATTTATTTTACAATGTCTCACACTTATGCGATAAACTTTCTTGAAGCAAAATTGGTAGATTTTATTGTTGAGTTGTTTGAGATGTTTGCCTCCCAATACGATCTTCCTTGTCTCTGATGTAACGTCGTAGAAGTTCCTCCAAACTGTTATCTTGCTGATCAACCGCGATTTGTGTTGCTCTTCGCGCCAATTCCCAGATCCAAAGTTTTGCAGCGTCATTATCTAATCCTTTTAAATCAGTCCCTCCTTTAAATTTTTGCACTGCGCTAGCAATGTCACGTGCCGGAAGTTGATGATTCGGATACTTCGCTTTCAATAATTGTCGTTGAGTGGTAACTCCCAAATTACCATGAAGCGTATAAAATTCAATATCATCAAGGACTGCTTTCGGTAAATTTCGATTCTTTGGTGATGCTGCTTCCAACACACTGCGATATCTAGGTGATGAAATCGCTTGAGTTGTTGATGGTTGTGCTGATGGTCTAGCTTCTCGCGTTTGTTGAATATTAAGTTCATGATTATGCTCGTTCACAAATGTAGTAACAGTTATGCATGTACTTGTCTTTGGAAAAGAAAGGTTGATATGCCATCCGCATTCAATACGTTTAGACGTTCGATTGCGTTGCTCATGTACTGCTGCTTTTTTTTTTGGAGTATATCGTCCTCCGTGTTCACAATCGTACGTTCTTTTTCTAACCATTCCCATTTCATCCCTTTCAACTCGTTTTTTTTCTGACAACAAATCCCCGTTCTCGACCGTAAAGTTCAAGAAATTCATCCACATTTTCCCAATTTTGAAAGGTCGTACCAACTGCAAGAATTACACTAGGGCTGGCCGCTTGAGGCGTAACAAAAGTACCATTATCGCTAAGTCCACCTGCTGTACCACTAAACCCTGCTGAATCTTCTTGGGGTGTAGTAGGTGACAAGGGAATAATAGTTTCTCGATGACCGGATCCGTCTTGTTCAACAGGAAGCGCGATTGGTGTTGGTTGAATTGGTGAAATCGCTGTCAGCATAGTAGAAACGTCCTCTCGTACCTCGTAATTCATGTTTGATCTTTTTCAATTTACTTTACAGTATCTGCTGGTTGCAAAGAGCTTTGTCGCTAACGTACTACAAAATTGCGAAAGCTGAAAACCGGAATTCAATAAAGTATTTTTTCGCAAGACTTCCAATTTCTCCCTATTAATACGGAGATCGGAAGATTAGGTTTTGATGTAGCCAATCAAGATTATACAGGCACATGACATACAAATACATTATTTCACGTGATAGTACATATGCAATGTTGTAATGCTTACAGCCAATAAAAAATATCTGAATTTTTCGAGTCGCAACGGTAAATCGCAATGCAACAATTTGAATTGTTTGACCCGCCTTCAGATGCTATATCGTCAGTTGTATTTAGCCCCACTAGCCCAATTCATCTTTTGGTGTCTTCATGGGACAAAGTAATTAAAGTTTCCTACCCTTTTTTTATCTATATATTCTCTCATTTTCTTATATTCTTGCTTATAGACCATTAAATTATATAATGTTGAAGAAAACTCGCTTCGAGGCTCATATAATCATGACGCACCAGTTCTTGACTGTTGTATGTCCGATGAAACTCATGTGTATAGTGGTGGCTTAGATAATTGTATAAAAAGGTATGTATTTTATTTCTACTTTTCATGTTTTTCATTCTAATTGTCGCGTTTTAATTCAAAATTTATATGGAAAATTTGTTAAGTTTCGATATTAATACGCATACCGGATTTATTGTGGGATCACATGAAAATGCTGTTAAATGCGTAGAATATAGTATTGACAATAGTAAGTAATACACGTCACTCTGGTTATATCGACATTTTTGAGACATTAGTAAAAAAATTCAAAATGTCGGTACAGTGACATTTTATATTAAATTTTTTTGAAAAAAAATGGTATAGAAAGATTTTACTATGATGTCGTTATATCCAGGTGTCGGCGTAACCAGAGTGACGTGTATATATTTTCTCATTCAAAATTTGTCTTTTTTTCATTTCATGATCCTTGCATATATTTTTAGATTTGATCATATCTGGTTCATGGGATCAAACAGTTCGGACATGGGACGTTCGTGAAAAAGACTCACAAACTGGAGTATATAAAATGGACAATGGAGGCAAAGTTTTTGCGATATCTTTGGTATCTTATAGATTAGTAGTCGCTACGGCTGCAAGACAATTTTATATTTATGACGTAAGAAACATGTCCGAGGTCCTTCAGAGCAGGGAAAGTAGCTTAAAGTTTATGACTAGGTGCGTTAAATGCATGCCTAATAAAGAAGGTAAAAATATCAAGCTCCTTCATTATATCGATAAATGAATTGTATTAACTTTACCATTTTGTAGGCTACGCGTGTAGTTCTATCGAAGGACGTGTAGCTGTCGAGTTTTTTGATCCATCTCCTGAAGTACAAGCGCGTAAATACGCCTTCAAATGTCATCGAAAGATGATTGATGGTATTGATACGGTTTATCCTGTTAATGCTCTTGCTTTCCATCCAACGTACGTGATATAATAATGCCTTGATTTTTTATATATTTAGCAATATTAACGCATCACGGTGCTTTTTGTTGCTAATAGGCATGGCACTTTTGCCTCCGGAGGTGCTGATGGTGTCGTGAATATTTGGGATGGAGTCAATAAAAAGCGTCTTCGACAGTATCCACAATACCCAACCAGCATTGCCAGTTTGGATTTTAATAAGGATGGTCAATATTTGGCAATCGCGAGTAGTTACACATTTGAAGAGGGTGAGAAGGATCATCCACCGGATTCTGTTTTTATAAGGCACATTAGTGAGAATGAATGTAAACCAAGACATTTGGCTCCACCTCCTTAAAGTTGCGATCCAACTTTTCTTTTTTAACTGACATTACTACATAATTAGGGGTTTTGAATGATTTCTATTTCATTTAGGATAATAATCAACTAAATATATCATTTTTTCATTAATAGTATCAAAATTTGTTAAATCAGGCATAAACTACTATGTATTTTCATTTTCAGATTAAGAAAAAATTAAGTGATTTAATGACTAAACAGGACTTGCTGAATAAAATAGACATGTTAATTCTAATAATTATATTTAACATGGACACATTAATTAGTTAATCTTGTACTAGTATAAGCTAATAGATTATCTAAGTTAATTTTGCTTCAAAATTTTTAGTATCTTATACAGTATTAAAGTTTTAATTTTAGATAAAATTTTGATTATATAGCACTAATATCAAACACTTGCCAAATTAGTACTTTATTAGAAAATAAAAAAGTACTATATATACTGTTTAGTATTATTTTTTTTTTAAGGCGATCTCATTTGGCCAAAACATTTTGCCTAATTTATTAGAGATAATTATTTCAGAATTACAATAAGTACAACTAGCCACATATGTACTTTTGGTATCTAATTTAAGTATATAGTTCGTATCTAAGCTATTTTACTTAGAGTTTTACACTAAAACTATGGGGTTACCCATTTAAACTCTCTAATAATAATCTCTACTTCCAACAAGTAGTATATCTAATTTTTTAGATCTTAGGACTATGTTAGATTAGTATGTGTTTTACATATACAACTATCTAGACTTTGGAATTTGAGTCAAAATCCCAAAAAATGAATTCCCAAAAAAACATAATACTGACAAAGTTAGCCGGCACTAGCTATAATTCTGGCTAATTTATGGTGTTATGTTCTTTTAATAATTTGCTGTTTAGGATTTGACCCAAAATCTAGACTTTGTTAATATATACTATATCTTAACCTATACACTTGGAAGTTATCTCTATAATTATCTACTTGCTCTTGTATAATTTATATTGACTTTGGTATCACCTTCTACTAGTCAAATATAAAAAAATCAACTATTAAATAAAATGGCTAATTTGATCTGAATTTAATAATTAAATAATTGGCTAATTTTATATTGAATTATTAGAATAATTTGATATAAAATCAGCTAGTTGAACTCTAAAAATATTTAGCCTGAAATTAACCAAAAATTTGATAATTGAATTTAGATCAAATTGGCTATTTCAATTAATTATTCTATATATATATATATATATATTTCAATATTAAAGTAACCTCTTTGTGTCAATAGCAATTTATTATTATTAAATTAATAATTCTCCAGTTAACTGAAAAATAAACATAGTAAAATATAGCTCAGTTTACTATATAAATCTAATATAGCCCGAATATGAAATTGCTCCAAGGTAAATTTTTTTTTGTACTAATTTAATTATCTTGTCAATTAATTGAAAGTTGTAAAGCTCATCTTTGTGGTTTTAATGATAGTTAAAGCATCAAAATCGGCCTAGTGGGTGCCAAGATATCTTTAAAAAATGTTTCTTTTACTATGTAAACTTCTTTGTAAACAATACTATTTTTTTTTTCACTTTGATAACCTTGCACTGATTTATTAAAATTTTGTAATTTACAAAATTAACTATTTAATTTACATATTAGACAAATACCCAGCTATTATAAAGTGCCCAAGTATGGTTATTGTACTGATATTGCCAACAAGCTCTACATATGGTGCTATCTGTATTTAAAAACCTGCTATAGCTTGGTACTTAGCTACCTATGTTCGAACAGGACCCCAAAGAACTCTGATGCAACTCATATATTA